CCGCTGCTGCTGCTGTATGTGCTCCTCCTTGGGCTTTTGCTGCTGCTGCTGCTGCAACTCTAGCAGCGGCACTTACTTCTGTTGCTGCTGCTGCAGTTCTTGCTGCAGCAGCAACAGTTCCTTCTGCTGCTGCAGCAGCAGCAGCAACATCCGCTCTGTACCTGTGCATTGCACCAAGTACCAGCTGCTGCTAGTTGCAGCTAGCTGTAGCTAGCTGTAGCTAGCTGCAGCTAGCTGCAGCTAATTAGCTAGATACATCAACTAGCTGCAGGTGCCGCCTTTGCATTATTTATAAGGGTTTAGGGTTTAGGGTTTAGGGTTTAGGGTTTATGTAGACTATGAGTTAGATACACTTCTTCCTTATATTGATACAAACGCATGCACAAGAAAGCCCCAAACTTCTTTATTAGCTGCAGGTTATATAATCGTTTATATCTGCTGCTGCTGCTGTTGTTGTTGTTGCTGCTGCAGCAACAGTAGCATAGCAGCAACAGCAGCAGCAAGAGCGGACAAATGGCGGGGGTTGCGGTGTACATGCAGGTGTCCTTCTAATAATAAATGAATAAATAATTATACTTAATTAATTAATTAATTAAAATAAAATAAAAAACAGCAGCAGCAGCAGCAGCAGCTCAGCAGACACCGCAATAAATAATAAATAAACACCAACAACCCCCCCGCTGCAGCAGCAGCAAACTGGGGGGCAGCAGCAGCAGCAAATAAATAAACAATATTAATGTATATATTTTATTTAATTTAATATTATTTAGTTTTGCATGCATAAATTGCTGCATTTCTTCCTTTGTTTGCCGCCATTGCTGCTGCTGTTGCTGCTGCTGCTGCTACTGCAGCAGCCCTGCGCATATTCGGCATCCGCAGCACAGCAACAGCAGCAGCAGCAGCAAACGCAGCAGCAGCAGCAGGACGCTATTATCATTTGTTTTGAACCCAGTAGACTACAGCCTAGCCAGTAGCAGCAGCAGCAGCAGCAGCAGAGGCAACTACGACAGCAGCAGCTGCAGCAGCAGCAGCAGCAGCAGCAGCATCCCTTTAGCGCAACACACTCAAGGTTGAGGACATACAAGTCAGCCGCAGGAAACTGTTGCTGCAGCAGCAGCAGCAGCAAAACTGTCGCAGCAGCAGCAGCAGCAGCAGCAGCAGCCTTCTGTGGGTCTTGTGCACCTGAACCGCAGCAGCACAATAACTACACAGTAGCAGCAACAGAAGCACGAGCAGGAGCAGCAGCAGCAACAGCAGCAGCAACAGCAGCCGCAAGAAGGAGCAACATCAGGATCCGCAGAGCCCTTGGCATTAGTAGTAACTGCAGCTGTCGCTGCTGCTGCTGCTGCAGCAGCAACAACAGCAGCTTCAGCAGCAGCTGCAGCGCCAATTTCCTGAGCAACAGCAGCAACAGCAACAACAGCTGCAGCTGCTGCAACAGCAGCAGCAGCAACAGCAGCAGCAGCAGCAGCAGCAGCAATTAATTAACCAGCAATGCTGCGTGCTCTAAGCTTGCTGCGGCGGCGTGAGTCTGCTGGTGGCTCAGAGAACGTCAACAGCAGCAACACGAACAGCAGCAGCAGCAGCAGCAGCAACAGCAGCAGCAGCAGCAACAGCAGCAGCAGCAGCAGCACCAAATTTGATGATGCTATTAGAGGGAGTAGAGAAGCAATCAGTACCTTAGATAAACGCCATGCGCATATCTTACGTAGAGCACAGGTAAACCCTAAACCCTAAACCCTAAACCCTAAACCCTAATTTGCATATTGAGCAGCTGTATGTATTCTTTGTTAACATCTTCTTTATAGTATTAGGGTTTAGGGTTTAGGGTTTAGGGTTTATAAATGTTTATAAGGGTTTACGAGGGTTTAGGGTTTAGGGTTCTTGTTTGTTTGTTAATTGTTAATTAATTGTATAATTCCTCTATTTTAGGGTTTAGGGTTTATAAGGGTTTATAAGGGTTTATAAGGGTTTAGGGTTTAGGGTTTAGGGTTTAGGGTTTAGGGTTTTTTTTTTTTTATAGGGCCAGAGTGCATTAGCTCGTGCATGCGTTGCTGCGTCGGATCGTGAGGGTGCATTGATGGCGCTGCAGCGTCGTCAGCTGCTGCTGCAGCAGCAGCAGCAGCTTGCTGCTGCTCGTCTTGCCTTAGAGAGGCAGCTGCTGCAGCTAGAAGCAGCACAGACGCAGCAGCTAGCTGTGCATGCAATGGCTGCTGCTGCTACTGCACATAAAATTATCACCAAACAACTGTATGCTCTTCCTCCTCCTCCTCCTGTTGCTGCTGCTGCTGCTGCTGCTGTTGCTGCTGCTGCTGCTGCTGTTGTTGCTGCTGCTGCTGCTCGTGTTACACCTGTTGCAGACTTTATGTTTGCTGCATAATCTATAGCTACTGTTGCTGCTCCCTGTACTGCTACATCTGCTGCTGCTACATTTACTGCTGCTGCTGCATCTGCTGCTGCTGCTGCTGCTGCTGCTGCTGTTGTATATTTGCTGCAGCACGAGCAGCACAGTTGAGCGTTTAGTAGATGAGATGGCTGAGCAGCAAGAAGCACAAAAAGAATTTGTTGATGCGCTGCAGCAAACTGCTAACCCTGCAGAGGACGAGGTTAGGGTTTAGGGTTTAGGGTTTAGGGTTTAGGGTTTAGAAGGGTTTAGGGTTTATAAGGGTTTATAAGGGTTTATAAGGGTTTATGAGGGTTTATGAGGGTTTAGGGTTTACCGGGGTTTATAGGGGTTTACTAGGGTTTAGGGTTTAGGGTTTAGGGTTTAGGATAGAGTGCAGAATTCGATAACCCGGATTCTGTTATCCAGTTGCTGCTGCTGCTGCTGCTGTTGCTGCTGCTGTTGCTGCTGCTGCTGCTGCAGGCTGATTTGCTGCGTGAGTTGGATGAGTTGGAGGCATTAGAGGTAGAGAGGCAGCTAATAGATCCGCCAATTGCTGCTGCTGCATGCACGCAGCAGCAGCTGCAGCAACTGCAGCAGGAAGATGAGCTGCTGCGGCTGCAGCAGCAGTTGCACATACAGCAGCAGCAGCAGCAGCAGCAGCAGCAGCATTACCTACATGAGCCTGCGCAGCGCTGCTCTACATGGCAAGGAATTGAAGATCCTGCACAGCTGCTGCTGCCGCAGAGGCAGCAGCAGCAGCAGCAGCAGCAGCCGCTGCTGGCTGGACGGGTGTCTGCTGCTGCTGCTGCTGCTCCTGCTACCCATCACCGACCCCAGGGGTTGCTGCTCGAGCAGCTGCAGCAGCAGCAGCAGCAGCGGCAGCAGCAGCACCACCAGTTCCCAGTTACAGGGATGCAGCGGCAGCAGAATGTGCTGCAGTACAGGAACTCAATAGAGCAGCAGCAGCACGAGCAGCAGCACCTGCAGCAGCAGCAGCGGCAGCACAGCAGCAACCTTCTCCTTGAAGAGGATGCAGGATGGGGTAAGCAGCAGCAAGCAGCACAGCGCTTGCTTTATTCTTTTTTAGCAGCAGCAGCAGCAGCACTAGCAGCAACAGCAACAGCAGCGAAAGCAGCAGCAACAGCAGCAGCAACAGCAGCAGCAACAGCAAGGGATTCTGTTTGCATGTGTTGTTTCTGTTTTGCTGCAGCGCCTTCTTCCCGTCACTCCTTTGGGGCTTATTCGTATATGCAGCAGCAACAGCAGCAGCAGCAGCAGCAACGGCAACTGCAGCAGCAGCAACTGCAGCAGCAACAGCAGCAGCAGCACCAAAGCGAAGAAGCTCGGTTGGGCGTGCTTCTCTATTCGTAAAGCAGCAGCAATTGTTGCTGCTGCATGCATGGGCATTTAGCTGTTTGCTGCTGCTGCTGCTGCTGCTGCTGCAGGTAGCAGCAGGATTTGCTTGCATTAGCAGCAGCAGCAGCAGGAGTAGCGTTGCTGCTGCTCCTTGTGGCTGATCCTTAACCTTTTTGTACACCTGCGCAACAGCAGCAGCAGCAGCAGCAACAGCGGCAGCAAGGTGCTGCTGCTGCTGCTGCTGCTGCATAACATGGGTCGATTTTTCTTAGTCTAGTTGTCTCTAAGTGCTGCTTTTGCTGCTGCTGCTGCTGTTGTTGCTGCTGCTGCTGCTGTCGTGTACATACAACTCATGGATTCACCTCTCTGCCTATACAGCTTCGGGTGTACAGGAAGCTCTGCTACTGCTGTTGCTGCTGCTACTGCTGCTGCTGCTGCTGCTGCTGGGGAAAAAAGGGTCTAAGGTGCCTATACACCTAAATCTTATATAGCTGCCTATACACCCCAATTCTGCTGCTGCTGCTGCTTCTTTTCTTTACTAAATAAATAAATAAATAAATAAAATAAAATATACATTTGTTACAAGCCTCACAGCTTGCTGCTGCAGCTTGCTGCTGCTGCCCCAGTTTGCTGCTGCTGCTGCAGTTTGCTGCTGCTGCTGCAGTGTAGTCTGCCATTGGTCCACCTGTTTGGGGTGCTCTGCTGCAGCTCCGGATGCGGCGCAGCCGCAGCAGCAGCAGCAGCAACAGCAGCAGCAGCAACAGCAGCAGCAGCAGCAAGAGGGATTCAGCAGCAATCCCAACATTCATCTGCTGCTGCACTTCTTAGCCAGACAGGAGCATCAACATCTGATTGCTGCACAGAGGAGAGAGTGCTGCTGCTGCTGTTGCTGCTGTTGTTGCTGCTGCTGCTCCTGCTGCTGTCGTTGCTGCACCTCCTGATACCGTGATCTGCAACACTTGCCGCTGCTGCAGCAGCAGCAGCAGCAGCATCTGCAGCAGCAAACAACACAAGACAGTAAGCTTCCTTGTGCTACAGAAAGATGCAGCAACAAAGAAACAGCAGCAGCAGCAGCAGCAACGGCAGCAGAGACAGCACGAACTACCGGTAAAGAAGGCAAGAGCAGCAGCAGCAGTAGCTGCTGCTGCTGTTGCTGCTGCTGCAGCAGCAGCAACTTACCTTCTTTCTTCTTGCCTCGACGGCCTCTCCGCATAGACAACCTGAACACCCAACAGCAGAGCAGCAGCAACTTGCTGCTGTTGTTGCTGCTACTGCTGCTTGCCTATCAGCAGCAGCAGCAGCAACTGCTGCTGCTGCTGCAGCAGTAGCAGCAGCAGAACAGATTGAGGGTAGGGGACAAAAACGTACCGATTTAACAAACGAGTAAGAGTCTTATATAGAGGGGCAGCTTCGTGTTGCTGCTGCTGCTGCTGCTGCTGTGTCTGCTGCTGCTGCTGCTGTTCAGTATGGGGAGACACTGATGCAACATCTGCTGATGCTGCTGTTGCTGCAGTCTGCTGCTGCAGGGGGCTAGCCACGGTACCCCATGGCGTAGACGCCGCAGCAGTAGCAGCAGAAACAGCAGCAGCAGCAGAGGCAGCAGCAGCAGCAGAAGCAGCAGCAGCAGCAGCAGCAGGAGTGGAGATCTGCGTGCCCGTGAAGTTGTCTACTTGAGTGTTTGCAAATGCTGCAGCATTCTGACTGTCATCATCAGGCACTGCTGCTGCTGCTGCTGCTGCTGCTGCAGTTGCTGCTGCTGCTGCTGCTGCTGCTGCTGCTGCAGGAGATTGTGTTGCTTCTTGCTGACTTTGCTTCGCAAGAGGCTGAGAAATGTTAAACCATTCTGCTGCTGCTGCTGCTGCACTTGCTGCTGCTGCTGTTGCTGCTTTTGGTGTTGCTGCTGTTGGTGTTGTTGTTGCTGCTGCTGCTGTTGGTGTCTTTCCTGCTGCTGCTGCTGCTGCTGCTGCTGCTGCTGTTGATTTATCTTTAGGGGGTAGCCTATTAAGTCTTCGTATAACCTTAGAGAAAGCTAAGAAACTTTCCTCATCTTCTTCTGTGTCTTCTGCTGCTGCTGCTGCTGCTGCTGCTGCTGGTTCTGGTGTATCTGTATCTACTTGTGTACCTGCTGCTCCTCCTGCAGCAGCTGCTGCTGATCCTGCTGCTGCTGCTGCTGCTGCTACTCCATCAGCAGGAGAGGTAGAGGCCCACAGTAGACCTGCCCATCCTCTTACTGGACCCGTACGAAACTCTCCTGCAATACATAAACCCTAAACCCTAAACCCTAAACCCTAAACCCTAAACCCTAGATCGCAAACCCTAAACCCTAAACCCTCGACTCCACTCCTCACATTCGACACTCTGAACCCCAACTCGTGATCCTTATAACCCCACCACAACCAAACCCTAAACCCTAAACCCTAAACCCTAAACCCTAGGAAGAAGAGGCTTGCCTTTGACCCTCCCTGCTCCGAATGCTGCTGTCTCATCTGGTTGTACCCAACCTGAAGAAGCAGCTTGCTGCTGCTGCTGCTGCTGCTGCTGCATTTGCTGCTCCTGCTGCAGCAGTGCATGCATAAGCAGCAGATGGGGCTGGAAATACTCGGGACCCCCAGATGCAGCAGCAGCTGCTGCTGCTGCTGCATCTGCTGCTGCTGCTGCTGATCCTGCTCCTGCTGCTCCTGCTGCTGCTGCTGCACCCATCAGAGCCACCAAAGGAACGCCAGGGGTTCGATAGAAAAGTCCTATTGGAGACCCCAAGAAATCTGCAACCACAAACCCTAAACCCTAAACCCTAAACCCTAAACCCTAAACCCTAGCTTTGCTCATACCCTGTAACCTCTGTGGCGATTCAATAGGTCTTATCCAGGAACAGCAAACTCTAAACCCTAATAACCCCGTAAACCCTAAACCCTCTAAACCATCTAAACCCTCTAAACCCTAAACCCTAAACCCTCAGGACGAACCACAAAGGGCAGTAGTGGCACGAAGTTCTCTTCCTCCAAGAGTTAAACCCTCAAATTTAGGTAGTCGAGGGTCTGCAACAGCACCCAAACCCTAAACCCTAAACCCTAAACCCTAAACCCTGAGTCCTTAGCAACTTGTTTGGTTCCCTTACAAGAGCAGAAACACTTGGGCAGCAACAACAACAACAGCAGCAGCAGGAGCAGGAGAAGATGCCCGTGTCCTGCCCTAGGGTTTAGGGTTTAGGGTTTATGGTGAATTACCAAAGACAAGAGTATCAAACACTTTTTCATCAAGAGAGACTTCGCTACCAAACCCTAATGAATCACCACTACCATCAATACCCTCACGAGGGCAACCTGTTAGCTGCAGCAGCAGCAGCAGCAGCAGCAGCAGCAGCAGCAATAGCAGCAGCAGCATGAGCAGAAGGAACAGGTAATTATATATATAAGATCAAGGAGCAGCAGCAACAAACGCAGCAACAACACACACACCCATACCCTCATACCAACCTCACAAACCCTAAACCCTAAACCCTAAACCCTAAACCCAAACCTCAAAAATACCTAAACCCTAAAACCTTCTCCAGATCCGCAAAAGATCCCCTATTGAGCCCGAAACCCTAAACCCTTCTCCCAAAAAAATCCTAAACCCTAAACCCTAAACTCTAAACCCTTCTCCCAATAAAATCCTAAACCCTAAACCCTAAACCCTAAACCCTAAACCCTAATAATATATAAATAGGAATAATATAGACTTACAACAAGAAGATGTTTATTATTATTTATTTTATGTTG